AAAAGTTCATGATCTTGTCCCCACACCCACAATCCATCACATGGTCCAATCTTCTTCCACGCTGGCGTCCATGCCCAGCTTCCTCCGTTCAGGTGTGAAAGTGCGGAGACAAAGGATGACCTTGACTTCCAGCAAGAATGAAAACAATACATTCCACAATTCTACTCCTTCTAATCCCCCCTCCCAACGACTATACTTAAAGAAACAGCATAATGAAATAATAGAAAGTGTGGCAGGCCAAAATTCTGAAAGGAATATAAATGCAGGCCTGACAATATCATTGTGAAAAAGTATACCTTCAAAAGGAAAAGAATACTTTTTAAGAGTCATCAGTGCTAGTCAAGTAGGAAGGGACCTTGGAGGTCTTCTAGTCCAACCCCCTGCCCAAGCCGGAGACCATATACCAATCTGGACAAATGACTGTCCAGTCTCTTCTTAAAAACCTCCGGTGCTGGAGAACTCACAACTTCTGAACAACTGATTAATTGCTCTCACTAACAGGAAGTTTCTCCTTAGTTTTAGATTGGATCTTTCTTTGATAAGTTTCCATCTGTTACTTCTTGGCTTGCTCTCGGGAATAATGGAGAATAGCCTGTCCCCCTTTTCTTTGTGACAGCCTCTCAAATATGACCAAGCACATAGACTGTGTTTTTAAAATAAAACCATAATTTATCATTCTTAGTCAAAATCATTATGGTAGGGAGGAAAATGTTATAATAATTCAATACTGTAATATTTAAAATATTCCATATTCTTCCTCTACTTTTTTGTAAATACATTTGCTATAAGTACACATGCAATTTTCCATTTACTTTTACTTTTCTTTTAAAAGGTGGCTTTGAAGAACGTGAGGTGTCAAAAAAAAGCAATGTTCTCTATCAGCTTATAGACAGGATAAGAAGAATCGAGTCAGGTATGGGCAAGCTACTTAAATTTGGTTCATCATTGCATGCAATATAAGACATGCCATACCTTTCTTGGTCCAATCTCTGAGTAGCCATGACAGTAAGTAGATAAGCTAATTGTGAATGAAATATTTTAGTTATGTTCTAATTCCAGTTTATGCAAGTGCCTATTATATGTGTATGCTGTCTGTGATCAAATTAAATTGAAATTTTAAAACAAACCTGTAATACATCCATATTCTAAACTTCTCAGTTGCTATCAAGCAGAGGTACAGTATATTTTGCAGTATATTTTTATCATAACATAAAGAGATCTGTTTTGGTCCCAGGTATTTTACCTAATCAATTTTTCCTTTTTATTTTGCCAACCCCAATGTCCATCAATTTTAACATAGTTTTCCTATGCTGCTGCAATGTCCATAAGAAAAAAATTGGCTACAGTATAGTACCATTTGTACCAATTATCTGGACATACCTTTAACAATCTTTGAACCATAATGTTATTATCCACTTTTAATGTAAATACTTTAAATTATATTTTAATGTTATTCTTTTTAATATAGTGTAAAGACAAATGTATATTGCTGGTCTTTGACCGTAATAAAGATCTTACTTACTCTCCTTACTTACTTACTCTCCAAACATAGATTTCCTTACAAATAACGCTGATTTTGACTTAATTTTTCCTAAATGTGTTCTAACATTTATGTATGCTTCTAGTAAAACTTGATGCATTGCCATTGGCTATATTTATACTGCTTTTCATGCCATTCATAAGTTTAGATTTTGCCTTTTGCAATAGCTAATTTAAATAAGTCTACAGGGGATGTATTTGATAAACCTTAATAAACATGCTGTGGAATTTGTCCTGAGTTCAATTGGCATTTCAGTTTCTAGAAAAGTTTATTCTGCATATCAACTTTAATTCAGTTCAATAAAGAAATATAATTCAAAGTTGCAATGCAATGCAAAGTTTCTTGGCTTGGGAACTTCACATACAGTTGAACTACCAAACCTTTTACTTTAGAAACGCTTTTTAAAAATATCATTTTCATTTATCTTGCTTCGCATTAAACATTTGAAAAGAAATTCTGCATACAAATAAAATAACTATTGCAGTTTTAGAGATATTCGCTACAAAAATTATTATGCTTTAACTAAAAAATAACTTTCTAGGTAAAGAAACATTGGAATGATTCATTGGCACATTATTTAAATAAGTATTAAGGGAAAAAGCAGGAGGAGGAGATATTTACAGTACCAAGAGTGAATCAGCATAGCGGGCCTGACAGGAGGACAGAAAAGTAAATATTCTAAATACTGAGTTTATGATAAATAGTTCCTTAGCATTGAGTCACAGTCATTAATGTTATTATATATTTCTTAAATCATATGAATGTATGTATGTATATTCACCATAATGCAAAGCTTGACTATACGTAAGAGGAAAATGCTCATTTATTTGAAGAAAATGTTATTGTTAGCACAATATTAAGAATGGTATTTTTACAACATAAATGTCATTGCAGGTTTTGAACAAAAAAATAAAACAAAGGCAAGACCAACTTTAACATTCTCAGGGAACAATGAGAGAAAAAGATTTTCCCGGGCAGCTACATCACGCACAGAAAGAATATGGCCAGGAGGTGTGATTCCATATGTCATAGCAGGAAATTTCACTGGTAAGGCAGACCAAGGCACATATTTATCAAACCCATGAACTAAGCCTTCCCAAATAGAAAAATATATGTATTTAGCAATTCAACTGGAGATGTCTTGAAGACAGTTCCTTCTTTTATAATTTTATTCTATTCCATGAAATGGCAATTATTCTTAATGTATTTAATAATACCAAATTTTAAATTATTTACATATTCTGAAATCTGAATGATACAGATGTATTTCCATGTGTTATGACCCACCTTATGAATCATTAAAAGAAATTATATAATAAGTCATTATGCTTATTTTAAAGCTGTGGAAAAGTGATCATTGAGAAATTTAACTAACTTCGCTTTTAGAGGAATGTAGCATATTATATTTTCTATTGGTATTAAATCAGTTTTTTTCCCCAGACTTAACTTCCCAGATGTTATTGCATTATAAACTAATATTCCTGCCTGCTACTGTTGCTGAGTGGAAATAATGGTTTCAGTAATTCAATAACTTCTAGCAGAAGTTGGAAAATGCTGGTGTTAATATTGGGATGCCAAATCTACTCCTTTATTTATTTATGCAACATTATTATGCAATCCATTAACTAATGATGAATGCATGTGCATTTCAAGGCTCTAATTCTGTAAATGGGATATGCACATCGACAAAGGATGCACACTGTCTTTAGCAATAAAGACAGAGAATGCAGCTTGTAATGTGATGTGATTAAGATGGGTAACTTAGTCTACACTTTTTTAAAACTTACTAACAACCATCAAATAAATTCTTCAATTCCTAAAAACATGATGGGCAGCAAAAGGTTGTATGGGCCTATCTTTTTATGTCCAAAGTATCTGTCTATGAATGTTTGTCTATATGTCTATCTCTATACCTATGTACCTATGCCATATATATTTATATCTATCTGTGTACACACAAATACACATATAAACACATACTATAAAGCTAACAAAAAAGAGAAAGATGTAATAAACATGAATAAAGTAGAATAGAATAGAACAGAACAGAATAGAATCTGGAAGGGACCTTGAAGGTTGTCTAATCTGTCCCCTACTCAAGCAGAAGAACCTATACCATCTCAGACAAGCGGCTGTATAGTCTCTTCTTAATAATCTTTGTACTTTGATACTGTCCAGGAGAATTGATGAATATATAAAAAATGATATAGGTTTTTTATTGGATAGGCAAACGCAAGTGTGTCTGGTGTGTTTGTGTGTGTTAGGACAAGAAAAGATAGGGTTTAAAAAGGGGTGCTGAATGAATATGTACAAAATATAGAAGGAAATGTCCATGTGAAAGAAGTACATTGAAATGATTTGGTTGTATAATGAGAACAAATGAGGATTAGCTCATGAAACAAATACTGTATGAGGAAGGGTTGAAAGAAAATTCCTTTTCTTATCTGAAATCTTAATTGGTTTACTCCTTTTTTTTGCTTCTTATATAACATTGCATACTCTGAAAGAGAATAGTGTGAAGAGAATGTATGTAAGTGTGCATATGCACAGTTTTTTCTTAGGGATTACAGTAAACATATCAATCACTGAATAATTGTTTATTCAAAAGCAACCCAATTGCTTTTCACTGTGTTGCCCATTATTTAATTAAATTATTTCCCATTTTGTGCATAATTTAATGCTCTGGCATTTGCAACAAAATGCTGTTTATTATCTTGCATATACATAAAAGACCAAGACATATTATTTCCATGTTATTAACAGCTGTTGGACAAATGGCATATCAGTAAAAATGAACTGTATTTCATGCATGAATGATAATTCACTAAGACAAACTAATTAAGCATGTTGTTGTACAAGGTTTTGGCTGATGGCTATGTGTCCAGCTTTGTGGCCACAAGTGTTGCGAAGCATCAGTCTGACAGTTGATACATTTCTTTCTAACCATGGGTAATTAAAAATCCTTAGGTTAACATGTTTAACGTACGCAATGTGTTTATGTATTTCTGCAGAGTAAATCCTTTTTGGAAAAAAGATTCTTGCTTTGTAAGATTTCACTAGTTGCTACCCAGCCCTTCCAACCTGTCTTCAGAATTCTGTTGTCTTTAAGACCTTCCTGCTTTCATTTGTTTCAAAATTGAAAATTTAACTTTAATATTGTGGGGGGATATGTTTGATTTTGTTTCTGAAAGTTTTGATTTTGTTACACATTTTGATTTTAGGCAGCCAACGAGCAATGTTCAAGCAAGCAATGAGACACTGGGAAAAATATACCTGCGTTACATTCATCGAAAGAAGTGATGAAGAAAGCTACATAGTGTTTACATACCGGCCTTGCGGGTAGGTTCATATAAAAGATATGGATTCTAATGAATTGTGAGCCACCCTACTGGAACCAGACCAAAAAATCAACTCCACAGAAGACTGGAACTACATTTTATTGAGAGGCTATGATCAGAGAAACTTCCAAGTCACAAAACCCACAGCCTATATATTTGTGTCAGGTTGTGGGATGCAAAAAAAGATATGGATAAGATTCATGTCCTAACTATGTTTTTGTTTTGATGTACTCTGATTGCTAATATTCAGATCTGTTTTAAGCATTATTATATCTTTGTATAATGATGAGAGCAGCAATAACCTGACAGTGAGCATCAGAAATCCTTCCTTCCTTCCTTCCTTCCTTCCTTCCTTCCTTCCCTCCCTCCCTCCCTCCCCCCTTCCTTCCTTCCTTCCTTCCTTCCTTCCTTCTGAATAAAGAGGAAAAATATATAAAAAAGAGAAAAACAATTACATTACAAAAAGATAAATTATATCTATAGCAGGAATATATAGGCTTATATATAGGCTTCTCTCTATATAGGCTTCTCAGGCATTGATAACTTATCTGATGGCGTAAGGGGAGTCTTAGTTATTTGTGTGAAATTTTCAACATAACAGTTTCAATTTAATATAAACCACATTCCACTGTATATATGTGTATATACTGTTTCTGTATGCAGTACAATATATCATTTTTTTTTACAAAGAACATAAACATTAATACAAATTAATAAAAGGCACAGGGATTCAAAGAAAGAAAGATAGAAAATGGAAAGTGCAGAGCGAAAGAATAAAAAGAAATACAAAACGCTTCCATTTCCTTTTGAGTAAATATAATTACCAAATTATCTCTTGCTCTACAAAAAGAAAAGCTCACTTTTTTTTCTATTATCCAATTTTTCTAATTATTAAGGGCATAAATTATAAGTGCATTCCCCCCGCCCCCATTTCATGCAAATAGTCTGTCAAGGGGTTGCCGCGCAGCCATGAATGTAGATACTGGTTTTTTTCCCTCTGATCAAAGAAATTAATTTAGCCCTTTTTGCAAGTTGCATCATTTTCACTAACCATTCGTCCATTGTGGGAAGGGTTGACCCTTCCCAAATTGTATCCTTTCATTATAACCAAGCATGGGTTTTTGTCAAATAAGTATTGCAAATTGTAATCTGAAAGGCCATGAAAGGAGGGTTACCTGAGTATTCACTACTGTTCTGAAGAGAATTGAAACGCTCAGGCAGGGAGCAGATGGAAATAGTGGGACAGACAGATGGGAAGAAGAGATTATATGTACTAAAGGACTTAGAATGATTAACTTAAAAATGGTTTTCCCAAAATGTGGTGCTTATTAAAAAATATTTCTATTGTGATTTTATTTAATGTGACCTACATGTCCTGAACAAACAGTGGATTTCTGAAATAGGTCAAAAGCTTTACATTTTCAGAATGTTTAAATCTCATATGTAAAGTAGCATACAACCTACATTATACAGTGAACCCTGTTTCAATAGTTATGTGGCTGTAGCCCCAAGCCTATAGTCCAGTGATGGTGAACCTTTTTGGCACATGTGCGCATGTGCCTGCATTTGCATGCTGGAGCGCCAGAAACCTAAAGACCCTGGCTGGTGCACGTGTGCCAGAGGTGGGTTCCTACCAGTTCGCACCTATTCGGTAGAACCAGTTCGTCAAATCTACTGAACCGGTTAGAAGAGGTTCCACCAGTGGACCTGGAAAGCAGGCCACACCTACAGAAGAGGTTCCAAAAAAAATTGAAACCCACCACTGCCCCCCCAGACAGACAGACAGACAGACA